GATATGTAGTTCTAGAGAAGACATGTAGTTCTAGAGGAGACATGTAGTTCTAGAGGAGACATGTAGTTCTAGAGGAGACATGTAGTTCTAGAGAAGACATGTAGTTCTAGAGAAGACATGTAGTTCTAGAGAAGACATGTAGTTCTAGAGGAGACATGTAGTTCTAGAGAAGATATGTAGTTCTAGAGGAGACATGTAGTTCTAGAGGAGACATGTAGTTCTAGGGGAGACATGTAGTCCTGGAGGAGACATGTAGTCCTAGAGGAGACATGTAGTTCTAGAGGAGACATGTAGTTCTAGAGGAGACATGTAGTTCTAGAGGAGACATGTAGTTCTAGAGGAGACATGTAGTCCTGGAGGAGACATGTAGTCCTAGAGGAGACATGTAGTTCTAGAGGAGACATGTAGTTCTAGAGGAGACATGTAGTTCTAGAGGAGACATGTAGTTCTAGAGGAGACATGTAGTTCTAGAGGAGACATGTAGTTCTAGAGGAGACGTGTAGTTCTAGAGGAGACATGTAGTTCTAGAGGAGACATGTAGTTCTAGAGGAGACATGTAGTTCTAGAGGAGACATGTAGTTCTAGAGGAGACATGTAGTTCTAGAGGAGACATGTAGTTCTAGAGGAGACATGTAGTTCTAGAGGAGACATGTAGTTCTAGAGGAGACATGTAGTTCTAGAGGAGACATGTAGTTCTAGAGGAGACATGTAGTTCTAGAGGAGACATGTAGTTCTAGAGGAGACATGTAGTTCTAGAGGAGACATGTAGTTCTAGAGGAGACGTGTAGTTCTAGAGGAGACGTGTAGTTCTAGAGGAGACATGTAGTTCTAGAGGAGACATGTAGTTCTAGAGGAGTCATGTAGTCCTAGGGGAGACATGTAGTTCTAGAGGAGACATGTAGTCCTAGGGGAGACATGTAGTTCTAGAGGAGAAATGTAGTCCTAGGGGAGACATGTAGTTCTAGAGGAGTCATGTAGTAATAGAAGAGACATGTAGTTCTAGAGGAGACATGTAGTCCTATGGGAGACATGTAGTTCTAGAGGAGACATGTAGTTCTCGCCTTCTCCTGTCTCCTAGACCACACCCTACTTCAGCCTGCTACCTCAGCGCCAACACCCCCCCCCCCCCACCCCCGTCCTCTCCTACATCTTGTTGTTCATCATGTACCCGTCAGTGACAGACGGTTAGAGATTCGCAAAAGTACAAGGCTGTCACTCGAAAATAGACACACATACGTGTGTTGTGACACAAACAGAGTTGTTGAATATATCCCGAAAGCAGACGGAATTTCATTGAGAGATCACAAGTAATGTGTACAATGTCTGGTAGGAACTAAAGTCCGTCTCGAGTGGGTTCTGTCAGACTTAACTCTACCGCGATCATCAGTGTCATCAACACCAGCCGCTTGTCTTGTTTACAGCAGCTCTGTGACGGTGTTGCTTGCAGCAGCTCTGTGACGGTGTTGTTTACAGCAGCTTGTGACGGTGTTGTTTACAGCAGCTCTGTGACGGTGTTGTTTACAGCAGCTCTGTGACGGTGTTGTTTACAGCAGCTTGTGACGGTGTTGTTTACAGCAGCTTGTGACGGTGTTGTTTACAGCAGGTCTGTGATGGAGTTGCTTGCAGCAGCTCTGTGACGGTGTTGTTTACAGCAGCTCTGTGACGGTGTTGTTTACAGCAGCTCTGGGACAGTGTTGTTTACAGCAGTTCTGTGACGGTGTTGTTTACAGCAGCTCTGTGACAGTGTTGTTTACAGCAGCTCTGTGACGGTGTTGCTTACAGCAGCTTTGTGACGGTATTGTTTACAGCGCTCTGTGACGGTCTTGTTTACAGCAGCTCTGTGACGGTATTATTTACAGCAGCTCTGTGACGGCCTTATTTACAGCAGCTCTGTGACGGTGTTGTTTACAGCAGCTTGTGACGGTGTTGTTTACAGCAGCTTGTGACGGTGTTGTTTACAGCAGCTTGTGACGGTGTTGTTTACAGCAGGTCTGTGATGGAGTTGCTTACAGCAGCTCTGTGACGGTGTTGTTTACAGCAGCTCTGTGACAGTGTTGTTTACAGCAGCTCTGTGACGGTGTTGTTTACAGCAGCTCTGTGACGGCCTTATTTACAGCAGCTCTGTGACGGTGTTGTTTACAGCAGCTCTGTGACGGTGTTGTTTACAGCAGCTCTGTGACAGTCTTGTTTACAGCAGCTCTGTGACGGTGTTGTTTACAGCAGCTCTGTTACGGTGTTGTTTACAGCAGCTCTGTGACGGTGATGTTTACAGCAGCTCTGTGACGGTGTTGTTTACAGCAGCTCTGTGACGGTGTTGTTTACAGCAGCTCTGTGACGGTGTTGTTTACAGCAGCTCTGTGACGGTATTGTTTACAGCAGCTTGTGACGGTGTTGTTTACAGCAGCTCTGTGACGGTGTTGTTTACAGCAGCTCTGTGACAGTGTTGTTTACAACAGCTCTGTGACGGTGTTGTTTACAGCAGCTCTGTGACGGTGTTGTTTACAGCAGCTCTGTGACGGTGTTGTTTACAGCAGCTCTGTGACGGTATTGTTTACAGCAGCTCTGTGACGGTGTTGTTTACAGCAGCTCTGTGATGGTGTTGTTTACAGCAGCTCCTATGACAAGTCTAGATGTTACATGTTTCCTATGACAAGTCTAGATGTTACATGTTTCCTATGACAAGTCTAGATGTTACATGTTTCCTATGACAAGTCTAGATGTTACATGTTTCCTATGACAAGTCTAGATGTTACATGTTGTAAGTCTCTGACAAGTGAACAATCTAGATGTTAACATGTTTCCTATGACAAGTCTAGATGTTACATGTTTCCTATGACAAGTCTAGATGTTCCAGGTCTACATGTTTCCTATGACAAGACTAGATGTTACATGTTTCCTATGACAAGTCTAGATGTTTACATGTTTCCTATGACAAGTCTAGATGTTACATGTTTCCTATGACAAGTCTAGATGTTACATGTTTCCTATGACAAGACTAGATGTTACATGTTTCCTATGACAAGTCTAGATGTTACATGTTTCCTATGACAAGTCTAGATGTTACATGTTTCCTATGACAAGTCTAGATGTTACATGTTTCCTATGACAAGTCTAGATGTTACATGTTTCCTATGACAAGTCTAGATGTTACATGTTTCCTATGACAAGTCTAGATGTTACATGTTTCCTATGACAAGTCTAGATGTTACATGTTTCCTATGACAAGACTAGATGTTACATGTTTCCTATGACAAGTCTAGATGTTACATGTTTCCTATGACAAGTCTAGATGTTACATGTTTACTATGACAAGTCTAGATGTTACATGTTTCCTATGACAAGACTAGAGTTTACAGGTCTTCCCTGTTATGATCAAATGTTACTGGTCTCCACTGACAAGATTGGATGTTACATACTCTCCCTGACAAAACTAGACGTTACTAGCGCCATCTCCTGTCAGTATAACTGATCTCTGGCTATCTATGCAACATTTTCTCTACCAAACAGTCAACCAGTATAAACAAATACGTCACGAAAAATGATCTAGTGAATGTAGGTCAATGTCAGACTTGAAAACACCTCAGTTTTTTTCTTTAAATGTGTGTGTGTGTGGGGGGGGGGGGGGGGGAGGGGTGTGGGGAGAACTGAAGATTTCTGGTGGTCTATCTACAAAAGTATGTGTTTGTGGGTGAGTTAGTGAGTGTGCAATCTATGAGCTCTAGCTAGTATGTGTTTGTTTGTATATCATATCTGCATGTAAAATTTGATGCCTCGGGTGTAATGTGGTATAAATCTGATGTGATTACATAAGTGTAGGATGTAACCTGTTCATTTGTGGATGTCGCAATGTACCATCAGCAACTATAAATACCATCAGCAAAGATAAACATGTACAATGTCAACTGTGGAGCAACTGTTCAACGTTTATTTGAGCATGTTCGCTGACACATACAGAACAGATCAGTATTCTGATAGCAGCAAACTGTCGCCAATCCACACATTATTGCTGTCAATCCACACAGCAATACCCCCAATCCACACAGCAATACCCCCAATCCACACAGCAATACCCCCAATCCACACAGCAATACCCCTAATCGACACAGCAATACCCCAAATCCACACAGCAATACCCCAATTCACACAGCACCACCCCCAGTCCACACAGAAATACCCCTCAATCCACACAGCTATACCCCCCAATTCACACAGCACTGCTGCCAATCCACACAGCAATACCCCAATTCACACAGCACCACCCCCAGTCCACACAGCAATACCCCCAATCCACACAGCAATACCCAATTCACACAGCACCACCCCCAGTCCACACAGCAATACCCCCCCCCCCCCCCAATCCACACAGCACTGCCGCCAATCCACACAACAATACCCCCCCCCCCCCAATCCACACAGCACTGCCGCCAATCCACACAACAATACCCCCCCCCCCCCAATCCACACAGCACTGCCGCCAATCCACACAACAATACCCCCCCCCCAATCCACACAGCACTGCCGCCAATCCACACACAACAATACCCCCCCCCCCAATCCACACAGCACTGCCGCCAATCCACACAACAATACCCCCCCCCCCCTCAATCCACACAGCACTGCTGCCAATCCACACAACAATACCCCCCAATCTACACAGCACTGCCGCCAATCCATACAGCACCGCTCACAATCCACACAGAACCGCTCCCAATCCACACACAATACCCCCAGTTCACACAGCACCGCTCCCAAACTTTTACTGGAACATTCTACCATTCTGTGTTGCCATTTACCGAGCTTCTTGTATGATTTTTTTTAGTTGTGTCCAGTATCGGCTGGCCAACGGCTAGCCCGTATGTACAACAGTTTGTTGTGTCCAGGAAAGTTTCTAAACTAGTCATTCAGTGAATCAAACTTTCTTTCCATCTTGTCAGCTCAGGCAAGCTTTCTCCTGCCTCATGTGGCCAAGGGTCACTGCTTAGTCGCCATGGCAACGACGATCACCACAAATTCCAGCCAAACACGCTACCTTTCTCGAAGAAGTAGTTGTCGATCTGGCCCATGAGTTTGGCGCGCACGTAGGCGGCAGACATGCTGAAGCCGCTGCGACTAACCACCAGAACCTGGCAGGAGGTCATCAGTAGAAGCTGTTCCAGCAGCGCAGTCTTAAGGCCCTCCCTGGCGTCCTGGTTGTTCATGACGGTGCCCAGGTGGAGCACGGCGCCGTCAATGCTGTGGACCCGGTCCCCAAACATGATCTTAGCTTCCTTGCGGACCTGGTGGACAAACGGTGGCTTTATTAGACACTGACACCTGGTGGACAAACGGTGGCTTTATTAGACACTGACACCTGGTAGACAAACGGTGGCTTTATTAGACACTGACACCTGGTAGACAAACGGTGGCTTTATTAGACACTGACACCTGGTAGACAAACGGTGGCTTTATTAGACACTGACACCTGGTAGACAAACGGTGGCTTTATTAGACACTGACACCTGGTGGACAAACGGTTGCTTTATTAGACACTGACACCTGGTGGACAAACGGTGGCTTTATTAGACACTGACACCTGGTTGACAAACGGTGGCTTTATTAGACACTGACACCTGGTGGACAAACGGTTGCTTTATTGTACACTGACACCTGGTGGACAAACGGTGGCTTTATTAGACACTGACACCTGGTGGACAAACGGTGGCTTTATTAGACACTGACACCTGGTGGACAAACGGTGGCTTTATTAGACACTGACACATGGTGGACAAACGGTTGCTTTATTAGACACTGACACATGGTGGACAAACGGTGGCTTTATTAGACACTGACACCTGGGGGACAAACTAGGGCTGTACCGAATAGTGATTTTCTCTATTCGGCCGAATACGAATAGCGGGACCAACTATTTGGCCGAATACGAATTGTGTATCATCATCATTATTAGATGCCTTGCCGACTGGCGTGGGCGATAATGCTGGCCACAATCCACGATCTCCTGCAGCATGTATCAGTTCGTGTGCTGACACATCTCCGTGCCATGCAACAAAACTTCAAGCATCTTCTCTCGTTGTCTTCCTCTATCCTTCCTTCCACAGATCTTTCTAGTGGTCACCACATGTTCCATTTTTCCTCTTCTCATAACATGGCCGAAAAATGATGACTGTCTCCTTCTGATGTCTGTGATTAGTTGTCTTTGGGTTTTGGCTGCCCAAGATATTTTTTTAAGCATTGTTCCGTAAAACCACATCTCTGAGGCCTCAAGGAATTGTTTGGCCTACCTACCAATTGTCCGGGACTCACAACGCATTGCTTTTCAAAATAAGTGCTTACTTGACGAGGCCAACAGTTACTATTGTACAAATCACATTTTCCACTTTAAAATTTCAGGCAAAATTTAATCACAACCTTACTCATCCGCTGCACCTTCACGAATACAGATGGAGGATCGGTCGCAACTCGAAATAAATACACAGACAATTTTAGTACGCTGCGGTTGGCATTTTATGGAGTATGATACACTTTGAGTGTGAAACAATGAAAAATACTCTTTTCGACAGTGGCGAGGAAAGACAATTTAAATTTTAACTTTTAATTATATTTATGCCTTCTTTAATAATGTTACAATTTATAGCCGACTTTTCTTGATTTTCGCTGCGGCACCCCTGGCATGCACGCCCAGTTTGAGAACCTCTGCTGTAATGCCTCAGTCGAGTCAGCAGGAAAAGACTTTGGCAGTTGCTCTACCGGGTCGCAGTTTCCCCCGCTACGACAGACTTAGTCAACATTAACTGTGTTAATGAGAGAGTTATTTCAGTCCATCGTAGTGTATGCAGAAACGGGTGTAAGGTAACCACTATTTGTATTCGGCCCGACAGCAAGTATTCGGCCGAATACCAAATAATTATTAGGTCCACTATTCGGCCCGAAGCGAATACAAAGCGAATATTCGGTACAGCCCTAGTTCAGACAGTTGCTTTTTTAGACACTGACACCTGGCGGACCACGGCCTTCTCTATTTATAGGCCTAACAGGTCAACGGGGATTACCGTTCTTGTGTAGTCCCTCCGCGTCCATAGTTTTTATCGAGGAGATGTATACACAAATGAAACTACAAGTTCATTAATTTTTGACATATTTTATAGAACTATACGTCATTTTTTGGGTAAATAAGTGTGCCAATTAAATATAACAATAAAGGCGCTTACAGACAAACAAAAATGCTTTTGCTACAGTCAACATGAACATAAACATCAATTACGTTTAGATAGAAACTAAAAGTTGTTCCAGCAAAAGTAAACAAATATAAGTGCTAACTCTTTGATTCTGAGATGGTATTGTTGCATCAGAGGAGCGGGGGGGGGGGGGGGGGGGTCATTTGTACTTTATCAGATTTAGCGCATAAAAATACTGCTATGAAACATACACATGTCATACATAACATAAATATAAACGATTGATGGTTATTATTATTATTAGTAGACTACTACAACATATAATTATACTGTTATTTAATAATTAGTAAACAAGCACAATCAGTTGAAGTTGATATCTGCAATACTTTTTTCACCCAGAGTAGTTTTCTTAACAGTACTTATAGCACTACTAAATATGTATCCTCAAGGTACAAACAGCACAAACAAATTTGTCCAGTTTCATCTTGTTGGATGAAATCAATTCCTTATCATTGCAAATTTTTTGGTAACTGTTTAAAAATACATCACACATACTTCTAATTACTGCATGCAACAACGCGTATAAGTATCATAAATGGTATATTTTTTTAAAGATAATTAAAGCAAACTGAAAAAGACCATATAACTGCAAATTGCTGAGCAACATACACATATCAAACACAAAAATCCCTATATAGATACCGGATCTCGTTGTTCAAAACTGTCTGGAACAAGACTAAAGCCCAGAATAAGATGATCGGCCAGAAGTTTCCGCAAGAGTTTACAGCCAGTGTTCACGAAGCAAAAGCCAGTTTACAAAAAATCAACACAGACCGTACAACTGCAAATATGCATAAGAAGTGGATGAACAACCAAATGTTTCCGCAAGTGTTTACAGCAAGTGTTTGCGAAGCAAAAGCCAGTTTACAAAAAAATCAACACAGACCGTACAACTGCAAATATGCATAAGAAGTGGATGAACAACCAAATGTTTCCGCAAGCGTTTACAGCAAGTGTTTGCGAAGCAAAAGCCAGTTTAAAAAAATTAACACAGACGGTACAACTGCAAATATGCATAAGAAGGGGATGAACAACCAGAAGTTTCTGCAAGAGTTTACAGCCAGTGTTCGCGAAGCATAAGTCAAATGGTTAAGGTTTAATATTATAAGTGTACTGCTACAACATATAATTATACTGTTAGTCAACAATTAGTAAAGAGGCAAAGAGTGACTTGCTGTGAGAGGTTAGTTAGTAAATTAAATATTATTTTCATCTACTTACCTAGAGCTCCGAAATATCTTGACACAATTTATCCACAGTGTGGTTGTGCCACTTATGCACAGTCAATATGAAAGCAATAGTTTTCTTCCAGCACAAGATAGTTTGCACCTGACAACTGTCGATATTCTCCAGACATGGCTTCTAAATTACCTGTTTGTATTTTCCCTAAAAGTAAGATTTCTACATTTAAAGTAGAAAAGTAATAAACAGCCAGTTCCCAAAAATCCGAACTACTGACTAGAAACAGTGACACACACAACACAACACAAAGAAGAAGAAGAAGAAGAAGAAGAAGAAGAAAGAAGAAGAAGAAGAAGAAGAAGAAGAAAGAAGAAGAAGAAGAAGAAGAAAGAAGAAGAAAAGAAGAAGAAGAAGAAGAAGAAGAAGAAGAGAAAAAGAAAAAGAAAAAGAAGAAGAAGAAGAAAGAAGAAGAAGAAGAAGAAGAAGAAGAAGAAAGAAGAAGAAGAAGAAGAAGAAGAAGAAGAAGAAGAAGAAGAAGAAGAAGAAGAAGAAGAAGAAGAAGAAAGAAGAAGAAGAAGAAGAAGAAGAAGAAGAAGAAGAAGAAAGAAGAATAAGAAGAAGAAGAAGAAGAAGAAGAAGAAGAAGAAGAAGAAAGAAGAGAAGAAGAAGAAAGAAGAAGAAGGAAGAAGAAGAAAGAAGAAGAAGAAGAAGAAGAAGAAGAAGAAGAAGAAGAAGAAGAAGAAGAAGAAGAAGAAGAAGAAGAAGAAAGAAGAAGAAGAAGAAGAAGAAGAAAGAAGAAGAAGAAGAAGAAGAAGAAGAAGAAAGAAGAAGAAGAAGAAGAAGAAGAAGAAGAAGAAGAAGAAGAAGAAGAAGAAAGAAGAAGAAGAAGAAGAAGAAGAAGAAGAAGAAGAAGAAGAAGAAGAAGAAGAAGAAGAAGAGAAGAAGAAGAAGAAGAAGAAGAAGAAGAAGAAGAAGAAAGAAGAAGAAGAGAAGAAGAAGAAGAAGAAGAAGAAGAAGAAGCAAGAAGAAGAAGAAGAAGAAGAAGAAGAAGAAGAAGAAGAAGAGAAGAAGAAGAAGAAGAAGAAGAAAGAAGAAGAAGAAGAAGAAGAAGAAGAAGAAGAAGAAGAAGAAGAAGAAGAGAAAGAAGAAGAAGAAGAAGAAGAAGAAGAAGAAGAAGAAGAAGAAGAAGATGAAGAAAAAAGAAGAAGAAGAAGAAGAAGAAGAAGAAGAAGAAGAAGAAGAAGAAGAAGAAGAAGAAGAAGAAGAAGAAGAAGAAGAAGAAGAAGAAGAAGAAGAAGAAGAAGAAGAAGAAGAAGAAGAAGAAGAAGAAGAAGAAGAAGAAGAAGAAGAAGAAGAAGAAGAAGAAGAAGAAGAAGAAGAAGAAGAAGAAGAAGAAGAAGAAGAAGAAGAAGAAAAAAAAAAGAAGAAGAAGAAGAAGAAGAAGAAGAAAACAATAAAGAGACAGGGATGGGGGGGGGGGGGGCGGAGAAGAAGATGAAGAAGCTATACCTGATTACTGTCCGAGGCGACATAAACATGGTGACCCTTGTTGACATAAGGCAGCAGAAAATCCCAGACGGCTCGGACCGACTCCATCTTGTTGCGTCGGTTCTTCTCAAACGGCAAAGTCTCGCTGTGGCCTATGCGGACATGAACACAGACGAGGTTGAGCTTAGCCAGGTCGTACCCAGTCAGATGTCTGATCTCTGCCACAGTCATTGAAGGCTTCAGTGGAGGGGCTAGAGTTTTATTTACTGCGCCAGTACTGGAGCTGTTGCTGACACTGCTCCATGTGTTGAGCGCAGACAGAGCTAAGTTTCTATTTGCTGCGCCAGTGCTGTAAGTTGTTGGTGTCACTGCTGCTCATGTGTGAGCGCAGACAGAGCTAAGGTTCTATTTGCTGCGCCAGTGCTGTAAGTGTTGGTGTCACTGCTCGATGTGTTGAGCGCAGACAGAGCTAAGGTTCTATTTGCTGCGCCAGTGCTGTAAGTGTTGGTGTCACTGCTCGATGTGTTGAGCGCAGACAGAGCTAAGGTTCTATTTGCTGCGCCAGTGCTATAAGTGTTGGTGTCACTGCTTGATGTGTTGAGCACAGACAGGGCCACGCCTACAAGCAGCTCGTTGAGCTGAGACCGGAGCTCGTGTGTGGGAGTGGCCAGCTGTACCCAAGCGTTATAGAAGATACTGTGTCTCCTGCCCCTGGCCCAGGCAGGGAAGTTTCCCTTGTATAATTGGTTTTCCTTCAACATTCTCCAGAGCTCAAGGTTTGTCCTCACGTAGACAACTTCCTGCGGGTAGACGCTGTTGAAGTCGATGGTTTTCAGTTCCCCTTCTTGGTTCTTGAAATACTGCAACATATATATTAATACAGTCTGGAATACCGCAACATATGAATTAGTTAGTTAGTTTGTTTGTTTGTTAATTAGTTAGTAATTAGATAGATAGTTTAGTTAGTTAGTTAGTTGGTTAGTTAGTTAGTTAATTAGATAAATAGTTTAGTTAGTTAGTTAGTTAGTTAGTTAGTTAGTTAGTTAGTTAGTTAGTTAGTTAGTTAGTTAGTTAGTTAGTTTAGTTAGTTAGTTAGTTAGTTAGTTTAGTTAGTTAGTTAGTTAGTTAGTTAGTTAGTTAGTTAGTTAGTTAGTTAGTTAGTTAGTTAGGTTAGTTGGTTAGTTGGTTAGTTGGTTAGTTGGTTAGTTGGTGGTTAGTTGGTTAGTTGGTTAGGTTGGTTGGTTGGTTGGTTGGTTGGTTGGTTGGTTGGTTGGTTGGTTGGTTGGTTGGTTGGTTGGTTGGTTGGTTGGTTGGTTGGTTGGTTGGTTGGTTGGTTGGTTGGTTGGTTGGTTGGTTGGTTTAGTTGGTTGGTTTAGTTAGTTGGTTGGTTGGTTAGTTAGTTAGTTTTAGTTAGTTAGTTAGTTAGTTAGTTAGTTAGTTAGTTAGTTAGTTAGTTAGTTAGTTAGTTAGTTAGTTAGTTAGTTAGTTAGTTAGTTAGTTAGTAGTTAGTTAGTTAGTTAGTTAGTTTAGTTAGTTAGTTAGTGGTGGTTTTTGGTTGGTTTGGTTGGCTGGCTGGCTGGTTAGTTAGTTAGTTAGTTGTTAGTTAGTTAGTTAGTTAGTTAGTTAGTTAGTTAGTTAGTTAGTTAGTTAGTTAGTTAGTAGTTAGTTAGTTAGCTAGTTAGTTAGTTAGTTAGCTTTTTGAGTTTTCATCATTGCACTCCGGACACATCCATAGGCGCTCAGATTTCCCTCTCATTCCCTCTTCATCAGCGTCTTGCGGTTAATAGTACCAGCCTCAGATCCTCCCCTCGGTATGAACCCCAGCATCATCGGGTGGCTAATAGTACCAGTTCTATGTTGATTAAAAAGTTCCTCTGGTGTGTGCGTCTCGTTTTTTTTGCAATGTCGATCTTAACTCCCAAGTCTATCGTTCTGACGGAAACAAGAATTCAGTCTGGAAATAACGTAATTGAATATGTGGAATACCGCAGAACATTCATACATAGAAAGCTGCACTACATGAAAACATTCATACATAGAAAAGCTGCACTACATGAAAACAGTCAGACATAGAAAGCTGCACTTCATGAGAACATTCATACATAGAAAGTTGCACTACATGAAAACAGTCAGGCAGTTGATTCGCGTCATCTCCTTGTGGGATGCAATTTTAGTTTATTTTGAAGCCCTAGCCTGGCATTTGCCGGGGGCCCTAAATACAGCCTGAGCCTGAAATATGGCCTAACGGCTAGACAGGGTGTCCGGGACCTCTCCACGGGCGATGCTCATCCGCATAGTGGCACTTTTGTGTCACCGGGTGTTTATCGCTTGTGTGATGTCCTGGTGGCGTACGACTTACACACATACATACAAACAGTCTGGCAATACTGCATCACATAATAACATGGAATATTGCAAAACTATAATTACAATATTTGCTGCAAAGAGCCCAACAAGTATAGGGCAGAGAAAACTACTGTAGCCTTGTCGGGAGACATTAAGAAGATATCAACAAGCTTACAACAACAAGCTTACAACAACAAGCAAACAGGAAATCAGGAAAGCGATCAATCTTCTGAAGGAAGGAAAGGTACTGGTCCAGAGGGTATCTCCGCAGAAATTATTAAGGCCAGTATAAACACATCAACGGAATTGCTACATAGATTATTCAGTAAAGTCTGGGAGACCGAAGAAATACCAGCAGACTGGAGAGAAGGATATCTGGTGAAACTGCCCACCCCCCCCCCCCTCCCCCCACCCCAAAAAAAGAAGAAGTACAGGAGTGTGCACACTATAGAGGAATCAGGAGTGTGCACACTATAGAGGAATCAGGAGTGTGCACACTATAAAGCAATCAGGAGTGTGCAGACTATAGAGGAAGGAGTGTGCAGACTATAGAGGAATCAGGAGTGTGCACACTATAGAGCAATCAGGAGTGTGCAGACTATAGAGCAATCAGGAGTGTGCAGACTATAGAGAAATCAGGAGTGTGTGCACACTATAGAGGAATCAGGAGTGTGCAGACTATAGAGGAATCAGGAGTGTGCACACTATAGAGCAATCAGGAGTGTGCAGACTATAGAGGAATCAGGAGTGTGCACACTAGAGATGAATCAGGAGTGTGCAGACTATAGAGGAATCAGGAGTGTGCAGACTATAGAGCAATCAGGAGTGTGCAGACTATAGAGGAATCAGGAGTGTGCACACTATAGAGGAATCAGGAGTGTGCAGACTATAGAGGAATCGGGAGTGTGCACACTATAGAGGAATCGGGAGTGTGCAGACTATAGAGGAATCAGGAGTGTGCAGACTATATAGGAATTAGGAGTGTGCAGACTATAGAGGAATCAGGAGTGTGCAGACTATAGAGCAATCAGGAGTGTGCACACTATAGAGGAATCAGGAGTGTGCACACTATAGAGGAATCAGGAGTGTGCACACTATAGAGGAATCGGGAGTGTGCACACTATAGAGGAATCAGGAGTGTGCAGACTATAGAGGAATCAGGAGTGTGCACACTATAGAGGAATCAGGAGTGTGCAGACTATAGAGGAATCAGGAGTGTGCACACTATAGAGGAATCAGGAGTGTGCACACTATAGAGGAATCAGGAGTGTGCACACTATAGAGGAATGATGTTGCTGCCAGTTGCTGACAAGTTTTAAGCAGGATTACTTTAGACAGACTTGATGCTATTGATAAAAAGCTAAGAGATGAACAGGCAGGTTTTCCGCCAAACAGATCCTATAATGTCCGGTCAGCCACATAACGTATAATAACAGAGTCCAGCATTGAATTGCACTGACCACTTTATATTGGATTCATGGACTATGGGACAGCATTTGACATCACTGATATGGACATTATTGGGGCACTATAGAATCCTACAGACAATTCCTAATTTATTAAGGCAACAGAAAAAAACATGAAATGTCGAATTCTTCAGGAAAAAATCGCTAACAGATACATTTGAAATAAGAACAGAAGTGCGGCGTGCATGTCTCTTGTCACCTCTACTATATTTATAGGCAATAGATTGCATTCTGATTATGATTGCTGCTAACCACAAGAATGGAAGTCCGTGGACCCCTACAAAACAGCTTGATGAAATGGTCTTCGCTGATTATATTTCTCTTCTGTCCCATTCACTGAATCAGATGTAAGATAAATTAAATATACTTGATACAAGATCACCACAGCTAGGTCTTAAATTTCATAAAAAGATAATGAGAAAAATCAGGCAAATAGTAATGTGGTTTCTCTTAATGGTATCACACTCCAAGACGTGGAGTCGTAGATCTATTTGGGCAGTAATGTAGATAAAGATGGGAGAACTGACAGAGATATTGAAATACCAATGCACAAAGGCAACAACATGAGCTTTGATAGCACTAGGAAATTTGTAGAGGTAAAATAACATTAAATTTAATAATAAACTGGACATTTTGTATTCCTATATCAAATGGATACTGTTGTAGTTTGCCTAACCATGGAGAGTTACTAAAACAGTTTTTTAAAAACTACAAACATTGAATTACTGGTGCCTGGGCAGAATGGAGGGAATCACATGGTTTGATAGAATCATTTAATGCGGAACTCGGGAGACAACTAAACAAGTTCCAGTGGACCAAGAGATGAAAAGACGCTGGTGGTAAATAGGACACGTGAGGAAAACATGAGAACTATATAACTAGAATGTCTTTGTACTGGAACCCATAGGGGAATAGAAAAAAAACACAGAGAATGAATCTAGAGAGGAAAGTTCAAAAGATAGGGAGGACACGATGTAAGCTGGATGCAATAGCCAAGGTTAGAACGACTTGGCCTGAGCTGGGGTGAGAGCCTATGCTCCACTGTTGGATAGAAGGTAAAGGAGGAGGATGATGATGGAAGAAGAAGAACGAACGAACGAACGATTCTTGCTTTCCCTAAACAAAATATACTCAGATTCATATCTAAAGTAAAGAAAAGAGGCGGTTTCAGAGGCAGGAGGAGGAGAAGGAATAAAATTAGGAGGGGGTGGTACTAGTAGTAACAGCAGTAGTAGTAGCAGCAGCAGCAGCATCAGCAGCAGCAGTAGTAGTAATAGTAGTAGGGGTAGTAGTAGTAGTAGTAGTAGTAGTAGTAGTAGTAGTAGTAGTAGTAGTAGTAGTAGTAGTAGTAGTAGTAGTAGTAGTAGTAGTAGTAGTGGTGGTGGTAGTAGTAGTAGTAGTAGTAGTAGTAGTAGTAGTAGTAGTAGTAGTAGTAGTAGTAGTAGTAGTAGTAGTAGTAGTAGTAGTAGTAGTAGTAGTAGTAGTAGTAGTAGTAGTAGTAGTAGTAGTAGTAGTAGTGGTAGGATGAAGAGGCGGCGAAGGAGAATCAAGGAAGGGGGAGAGATAGAGCGAGAGGGAAGAAGAACAAAAGGAAGGAACTATTCATGAAACAACAAGCAATGACTGACTTTGATGGTTGTGGTAGATCTGCCCCGCACCCGGCTCTCAGGGATGCTCCACTGAACCTGGCTGGGCTTGTAGAAGTCCTCTAGTGGCCAAGGATGCGACATGTTGATGAAGCTATACCTGATTACTGTCCGAGGCGACATAAACATGGTGACCCTTGTTGACATAAGGCAGCAGAAAATCCCAGACGGCTCGGACCGACTCCATCTTGTTGCGTCGGTTCTTCTCAAACGGCAAAGTCTCGCTGTGGCCTATGCGGACATGAACACAGACGAGGTTGAGCTTAGCCAGGTCGTACCCAGTCAGATGTCTGATCTCTGCCACAGTCATTGAAGGCTTCAGTGGAGGGGCTAGAGTTTTATTTACTGCGCCAGTACTGGAGCTGTTGCTGACACTGCTCCATGTGTTGAGCGCAGACAGAG